TTTTTAAAGTTGCATTTCAAATTCTTCTATTTTCGTAATAGCAGTTGCTTACAATTTTCATTCGAACCCCCATCGATCTACAGCTCTACTCATTGCAAGTACAATATTAGAAAAAAATTGGCGAATAAAGCAATTTTTCATGCATTATTGAAGAATATTAAGTGAGACTTTGGATAGAGCAATTCCTTTTAACGGATTTGTCAACTGTATGAATCAACAATTACTTTCTGCTCTCTCTTTCACTCCTATTCTAGGAACGTCTGAGTTTGCTCGTCACAACCATCACAAACAAATTTTTTCCTGATAAGACTGTTGTCAAAAGTATATCCATTAAAACTGTAAATAGTTTCAGTAGTTTCTTATGGTTTATTACACTGCTATGAGTACTATTAGCATCGTCATTGCTATTATAATGAGAACACCGGTGAGATTCATATCTAAATGATGAGTGCTGATGGTGGGTTAGACAATTTTGAGAGAGTAACGGTGAAAACGGCATTATTGCAACACAACGGGCTCACATTCGTGTTCAGCACAACGACAGTTAATATGCGATGAGGTGCGAAAAGTTGAACATAATGAACACTGAACAAATAATACAACAAATGACACAAATATAAAATTTATTCGTTTTCAGTCTCAAAAAAAAAGAAGTGAAATCGCATGAAATATGATGCATCAAAAGAATACTCGTAACGCTGAATGATTAATTATTATATTACACATCGAAAAGACTTGCTGTAAGTGCACAACAGGATGGCTTCGACGAACTCATAACACTCATAACATTAAAGGCATAACACTTCTGGAAATGAAAATAAAGGCACATTGCACTGATCCGATACCGTGAACGATTGCACGCACAAATCCAGATGGTCAGTAGTTGTATTGATTGATATTAATTTAAAAAGTTTAGATGAAGCCCTCAGAATACGAAGAAAACGTGACTAGAAATTCTTTATGGATAAACGACTAGTGCGAGTGTGATGTGAGAATAAAAATTATAGCGAACTGCTGAAATATAAAATAAAGTGAAAACAAAATGAGGCCGAGTGGAAGCAACAACAAGAAGTGCAACGGACGGTTTGCACTTCATATGATCATGTATCACAGATAATATCAACAAAACTGCACAATAAGTAATAATGATGATAAGATCATGCACTCGTGCATAATAGCACACCTTGATTTGCAGTGGCATCACCGCTACGGTTCATATTGGGACGACGTGA